ACTCGCAACCCTTCTCTCTTAATATAATATGCACAACCCTAGAGAGATTTTGAGAGAAAATTACACATAGTAGAAAAGGTTAAAGCTAGCACTCTATAATTTTTGTTGCTTCTTATCTAGGCATTTAAGTCTGTATAGATTATTAACAAAGATTAGAGGCTTGGACAATTCTTTCTATAAAATTTAAATTCTACACTACAAGAGGTACCTCCTAATCATCTTGTTGTTAATATAGTTAGTTGATTTAATAGTTGATCTTAGGAAATTTAGATGAAAGAGAATTTTTTTTAATTTATTCCGCACCTTCATAGGATGCATAATCCTTCAAAACAAATTTCAATTTCTTATTTTTGAAAGTCTTATGAACATCGAGTAGCGATAAAATCCAACACTTATCTTGAATAATAATCGAAATAAAATCCAAATTCATCATCGCAACTCCATCACAAAGTGTTGATTCCAATCTTATATCATTGTAAAATCTCCCGATGATCTTCGATCCTCGAGTTTGAGACTTAAGGATGCATCATAACATATTAATTATGCTTAAACTAAATTAGATGCATGAAAATGCTTAAGGTAGGTGAAAATATAAAAGGGAGTAAAAGCTAACTCCGTAAAAACATTTGACCAAAATGGACTACGAGAATATGAAAAGTCAAAATCCAGATCACTTTTGATCGTTACTAAAATTTTCAGCAATCTTCTAATGCATGTCTAGTTAGATCACATAGCTTTTCACGTTGTCAATCCACCATCAAAGGTCATCTAACTCATGAATTGGTGAGTAAGGTTGAAGCTAGAGAAATCTTGACCTTTTCGTCTCTAGCAAGCTTAAAATAAAGCTTTGAGGATGATTTCGGAGCAATTATTGTTTAATGATGATTGAATGAGGTGCTCGGAGCTTCTATGGAAGAAGAAATCCAATGAAGATGTCATTGGATTTTGAAAAAAAATATGAAAGGGAATGATTTTGGGTTGAGTTTCCAGCAATTCATTATTCCTTTTAAGTATCCCACATTGAATAGTTAAATCAATGATAATTAATATATAATCTTGAGAAGGGATCACGCATCATAAAACTTAAGTCTTTTCGATGAAGCCTAATTTTAACTATCTAACTCTATATGGTATCGGACCTTACTAATTTAATGATCAAGAGTTCGAATCCTACCATCCCACCTTTTCTTCTAATTAATTAAGTACAATGTAATGTGGGTCTGTACAAGTTTCAAGCACAAATAAACTTTTAATTTAGGTGGTATGTTAGAGAATAATATAAACCATATCCTAGAGTCTCACGTAATAGCTTAAAAGTTTAGGTGAGTTAGTCTTTTGACATGGTATTAGAGTCTCAAAGTGGCCCATCGACCTAGCAAAGATCGTAGACCCTAAGCCACATGATAGACTCTAAAAGATGGGTTGCAAGTGAAGAAGAATGTTAAAGAACATATCTTACATTGAATAATTAAACTAATAATAATTAATATATAAAGTTGAAAAGTGACCACCTACCATAAGGCTTAAGTTTTCTTATATGTAATCAAATCTCAACTATCTAACTTTATAGTTATAAATGGCCAAAAGAAAGCATGTCGAAGGTAGGAGTGATGATGACCGACCTCGAGGAGGTTCGATTGTAGGTGGTTTGGTGTGGTGGTGGCCAAAATCCGACAAGGTTGAGTGGAAGAAGGAGAGTGAGAAAGATAGTTTTATTTATTTATTTAATATTTTTCAAGTTTGTTTTGTGTGTGGTTGTCTCTCTTTATTCTTTTTTGTTTAGTATTATTTACATATGTGAAAGGAATGTGTATCCAGATGAATTTGTGTCTAGATTTATCTCTTATGAAATGCATATATGAACATGTTTTAGACTAGGTTCAAGTCCTTTTAGAAGGAAAATTTGTGTTTGGCTAGGTGTTTAAATTACCTCCAAAGCGAGGATTGGGCTATTTATAAAAGTTTGGATAAGGAATAATAAAATGAAGATATGATATCTCACTCACATATATTTCTTCTTTTTTCACTCTTGATTTTTGTGTGCTCTCATTTTTTTTTTCAAATTTTGAATTCTCTCTCTTTTTGACACTTTGCTTGTTTTTTTTTTTTCATGAAGCTCATTTTTATTATACTCTCTCTTAAAAAAAAACTTTGAAGCTCACAAAAATATTAAGCATAAATAAAAAAATGAAAAAGGAGTAAAATTTCAAAGAATAGGAAAAATCATATAAAAATGATTTTTTTTTTGGATTCTTGGATTTTGTTTTTGTTTTGAAAGTAATTTGTAAAAGTAAGGGGTCAAAATTATGTTATGAAAAAAACTTAATCATCACCATCACCACCACAATTGATGACGGTGATAAAAAAATTATTATTATTATTATTTTGCCACCATTCCTCCTTAGCCACCACCATGACTATTGTCAATGGTGATAAAAATGATTATTATTATTATTATTATTATTATTATTATTATACGTTAATATTCTTTTTCCACTACCACCATCACTTTTATTGTATTACCACCATCTGCTACTCTTCTTCCTCTCGTCACCTTCTATGGTGATGATATCAATTTTTTTAAAAATATATTATTACTATTACTATATTGTTATTAATTACTACTATCTCCTCTTCATCCTCCACTTCCTCCCTCTACCATCACCACAATTACTTTTATTATTTTTACTATTATCATAGTTGATAACATTATTTTTTAATCATTATTCTCATTCGTATTAAAAATTATATATTAAAAATTTTAACTTTCATTTTGATTTTTTATTACTACTCCAAACATAGTATAGGAATGAAAATGTCATTCGATTTCTTAATTTTTATTTTTATTTCTATATTTTTATTTTGAATCTTTCATTCTTGGTAATCAAACGATATATAAATATTAAAGACCTACTTATTCATATTCTTAATGAGTTTAGGGGTTTAGTTTCATTTTGTGGTTTCAAATTTATAAATAAAGACATGTTATTACACAAAAGCATTTTTTTTATTGTATCTTTCCTTCTCACTCGTTAATGAGATTTTATGAATTTAGTCTGTATTATGAAGGTGTTATATCTTTATGGAACAAATAAACACCTTAATTGTTTTTATTAACAATACGTATAGCTTCACTATATTGCTTCAAGTCTATAAAGAAAGACTTTTTGATAGCCTAATTAAGTAGCTTAAAAAATTAAGTTGTACTACTTAATATAAAAATCTTGTTTGATAACTTAAATGATCTCATATTAAAACTTTAAATTCGGTTAAAATCTACTTAATCGGATAAGTTAAAATTTTTAACTTATCCGATTAAGTCAAACTATCTAAAACATACTCTCTCTCTCTCTCTCTCTCATATATATATATATATATATATATATCGAATTTATAAATTATAATAATATATTTTGAAAAATAAAATACTCATTTGAAAAGCATAAAAATAATTCATTATATAAATTATAATAATATATTTTTAAAAAATAAAACATCGACGTTATAAAATTTTATTCCAAAATTCATATATTAAAAAATTAAATTTATTAACAAATAAAATTATATCAAAAATTAATTTGATGAGAATTTTAGTAAGAAAAATATAATTGAAACAAATAAATTTTAAACAATAAGAGTAATATAATCAGATATATATGTTCAAACTAAAATCTTAAAAATATCATATATATTCTATCATCTTCAAACAAGCTTATTATATTCGGTACTTAATTTTTAGTAAATACCAAACGACTTGTCGGTAACATATTCGAGTACTTAACGTATTCAACATTTAAAATTCGGTACTTAATAGATTCAACACTTAATTTTCAGTTTTATCAAATACTACCTTATTATCACATAAAATGATATATACAAAAGTGTTTTTTTCTTCGATCTTTTCTTCTTATTCTTAAAAAGAGTTTAGGAATTTAGTTGTATTCTAGATGTGTTGTTTTTTTTTTTACGAGACAAATAAACACCTTAAAGGCAAGTGTTTCTTACATCTCTAAACCAATTAATTTTTCTATTTTTTTGTCTCCATATCAAATTATTTAATGTTTTTATTTTCAAGGAGTTTTGAGTTCGATCTTCTTTTGTGAAAAAAAATTCTAATGCCAAGTATTTCTTGTTATTTTGATTAGAGTATTGTAAATAATAACACAATATTGGATTTTTTTTTTTTCAGTTTGTTGTTTGTTACAAATCAAATGCAACTTTCAAGCTTAAAAAATAGTTTAGATTGAGTTTTATTTAAAAAACTATTAAATTACATAATTGAGATTGAATTTTATATATATAAAAAAGTTTGGTTTATTCTAAAATTTTTAAAATAACTTTATATTTGTTTATTTATTCGATGCTGGATAGATTCTTATCTAAAAATAACGGTTGATTTTTAATTTTTTATTAACAATAAATAAATGCATACATATAAAAATTGCAAGAATTTGAACCAAGTTCAAACCTTTCAAGGACGTCATGGTATAAGAGAATTTCACTTTCAATTCAACTCAATGTAATACTTGACGTTTTTTCGCGATCTTTGTCCATTGCGTACGTCTTTTAAGGAAACTACGCGTTGGAATATTCTGTTTTAAGATAGTCGTTTCTTTCTTTCACACAATGGTTTGGTAGAATATATATAAGAGGATTTTGAAGACAGCAGACTCAATCCTCTTTCCGTTAAAGAAGAAGATTTTGAAGACAGCAGTAACTGTTAGTTAGTTAATTGATCACAGAGTAAGACAACGTTGTCCATCATTCTGAGATTTATTCTGCATTGCTTTATATATATATATATATATATATATATATAGAACTCTGTACTGGTCTATACAGATGTGTCAGAAATGAATATTTTATGCTTGTATATATACACACACATGTATGAATGTATGATGCTTAAATTTTTCGTATACAACTTTATATAGGGTTAATTTTGCTTTTCGTTAAGCAGTTTATATGATCATATTCTTCTGCATGTTGAGAAATCGTTGATGCATGGGATCATCCTTGTCGTTACTATTCTCATTCTCAAAAGAAATTCTCCCGTACAGGCTCTTCGGCTAGGAGATATGGAGGCAAAAAGCACAATTGGATCCATTGATTTCAAATCAAAGGATGGAGGAACATTGAGAACCACAAGCTTCAAGAAGAGGGATTTGGGCAGAAGTACTGTTGATGAATCTGATTGTGGCTTCAACAAGATCATGAAGCCAGCAAAGATAAACCTCCAAACAATCAAGAATTTGGTTATGAATGGAAGGAACTTAGATGTGGTCAATAAAGTACTGGATCATAGAGCAATTTCTTCATCTGATCATAGTGAGGGTTTTGCCGCTGAAACCAAGTTGCAAAAAAGTTACAGGAGTTATCGGACCCGTAGAAATCTTGCTGATTGTGCTGTTGTTGTGGAAGAGCTATGGTAAGTAGCCAGCTCTCTAGCTAGCTAGAAGTACGTCACTTTGCTTTAAATTAACTAGTACCGTTGATCTATATTTTAATCAACACCATAATAATTACTTTATAGTAATTAATCCTCTCTTCATGATTGATGTTTCCTTAATTTCATTGTTTGTAGGAGCAAGGCATTAGACTTTGCAGCCCTTCGACGAAGTTCGATATCATTCTTTGACTCTCATAGACCAGAAACTGCCGTTTCACGATGGGCTCGGGCTCGCACTAGTGCAGCCAAAGTACGTGCTTTCCTTTTGTCGTAAATAAACATATATATATGAAATTTGTCAAAAAAATAAAAAGTTATTTTAATTTAAAAATTTAAATCATTGAGTGAGATTTCCAAAATAATTTTACATTATTTTCTGAAAAACCTTTCATTTGGGCATATAATTATATATATGTCATTAATATTAATTCTTGTTGTTGCTGCAGGTTGGGAAGGGTTTGTCCAAGAGTGAGAAGGCTCAGAAATTAGCATTGGGACATTGGCTTGAAGCTGTAATATAATATGTCCACATTAACTGCACGTATTTAAGGATGATTCCAATATATATATATATATATATATATAGCAACTCTCTAAAAGCTGCTATTGTGTTTATCCAGATTGATCCACGACATCGTTATGGCCACAATTTGCAGTTGTACTACAGTGTCTGGTTTGCTAGTGAAAGTCGGCAACCTTTCTTGTACTGGTGAGGAAAAAGAAATGAAAAATGGGAAATGATGGTCCATTCGGGAAATACAATTATTTATCATTTATCAGTGTCGTTTCTGATTATTATCTTTTGTGAAAATGATAATTAAGGTTGGACGTCGGCGATGGGAAAGAAGTAAACCTTGATGCATGTTCCAGGGCCCAACTACAACGTCAATGCGTCAATTATCTTGGAAAGGCAAAGCATATGTTCTTATATTTAATTAATTTTTATGTCAAAATTAGTAAATTATATTTTACTTAAAACTTAAAAAGCGAGAAAATATCAGTTTTTTTGTTATGCTTGCTGCTTTTATGGAGTCCTGCTGCTCATCAAATACAATTTGGCCATTTACTTTTTCGCATTTCACACTAGCTATCATATATAAAGTTTTTTTGTTTTTTTTTACGTCAGTCTTCATCCTTGTTGTTCTCTTCCATTACAAAGTTTCGATTTTCAAATAAAGAGTGAGCAAGGATGGATCCAGATAGGGTTTATGAATTGTTCATGTTTTTATTAATTTTGAGGGAAAATTAGAAAAATATATGCCAAAATTAGACCTTTAATTTAGTCACCAGACCGTGACCAATTTTTTTTTTTTTCAAATTTTGTGCTTTCATGTTTATTAATATCGATTTTTTTTTTCTTTTCGCAGAAAGAGAGGGAAGAATACGAAGTGATTGTGGAGGCTGGAAAGCTTATTTTCAAAAAAAGCAGGCTTCCTGTGCACACTATTGATGGCAATAAATGGATATTTGTTCTTGGTACGTCTAGGAAATTGTATGTTGGGAAGAAGCAGAAAGGCCTATTTCAGCACTCTAGTTTTTTGTCCGGTGGTGCTGCCATCGCTGCTGGCAGATTGGTTGCCCGTGGTGGGGTTCCTGAGGTATGTAAACACGTACGTTGCATGAACATGCCCGAGTTCAATATTATTCCTCGTTGTGTCATAGTCAAGAAAAATGAAAAAAACAACATAAAGACAATTCTTCCTTTAATTTGTCAGGCTATATGGGCCTACAGCGGTCATTATCGCCCATCAGAAGAGAATTTCCTGGAATTCATTGTTTTCTTAGAGGAACAGCATGTAGACTTGACTAACGTTAAGGTAAACATTCGCCAGGTATATAGATATATTATGAAAAATAGGACTTAAAGATTCAGATAAAAACTTCAATAAAATTGAAAAGACTCTCAACTCTCGAAGCATATATTAATATACATATAACATTGTATGTGACTCTCAACTTCGTAATTTGTCTCCGCAGAAGTGTCCCATAGACGACGACATCCCGCCTCCCAAAGTTACTTCCGAGAAGGAGGTTCATACAGAAAAGAAAGATTCCATATCCATTGAAAATATTTCATCTCAACGTGTTAATGTAGAGGTGGGTGCAAATGGGCGCCACATCAGGGCCATTTTTAAACCAAATGAAGAAAACAGAGAGGCATCAATATTTGAATTTGGCAAGCTTTGTGCGCGCAAAAGGACAAGCGGTGTTGGACCTCGCATTTGGCTGTCTTAGAGAAAACTCAGCAGATAAGCTACGATTCCAGGCACTTGAACAGGCTAACTTATCACCAAAAGTCATGCCAGGAGGCTTTGCAAGCAGCTGTCCAATCCCTTCACCGGGACCAACTCCGAGAATCCATCTGTCCCCCAGACGTAGGACTTGCTAGCCCAAGGGTATAATTTCCAATGTCAAGAGACATTGCCAATTTCACAAGGAATAATATTAAATATACATTTTTTTTTTGGTAAAATTGCTTTGTAAAAACTTTCAACCATCGGATTTGTCACTACCCGACGTTGGGCGGGACTCGTAAAAAATATCTAAAATTAGATTAATATTTACAAGTTTCTTTACGAATTTGGAGTCGTCACCTAGAATTAAAGGAACTAGGAACCTAAAACGGACAATCGGCTCGGAGATTCTATGATAAGCAGTTGGTTACGCTTTTGGAAAGATATCGATCACCCAAAAACACCATTTTCGAAGAAAGGTACCACGTTTGATTTAATTCTAAATTTATCTCCTAAAATATTTTATTTACATCAAATTATTTTCTGATTTTTAAACTCTTATTTTTTAAGACAAATTGAATTTTTTAGTTTTGGGCGTGGTATCGTATTGAAACAATCGTTGGTCCCTTTCGTCGAGCGACACGTCGATTCAAACATCGGATCAACTTTAAGCCTTGACACAACCTCGTGTGTCGGAGGACATTTTGATTAAACAAATGAATTTGGGTGACGTCGATCCCTATCGGATAGGAGACTTCATCAAAAGAAAACAAAAAAATTTAAACGTTCTTTGTGGTGACGTCGGTCCCTATCGGATAGGAGACTTCATCGGAAAAAAATATTTTTTATTTTTTATTCTTTAAAAAAAACTTTAAAATTTTAATTAACTACAATTAACTAAAACAAATTTAAAAAAAATTAAATATATCAAAATCATCGTCCGTCCCTAATAAATAGGAGACTCGTTGGTCCAATATTTTAATCATAAAAAAAAATCTCACGTTAAAATAAATTTCACAACTATGTATCTTCAAATTTTCTAACATACGTATGTAAAATAAAATAAAGCTACAAAACACATAAAATAAATCAAACAATCCAAAATTCACCTATATTGTAAAATTATAAAAATGCCCCTAGAATGCCGAGAGTCACCTGCTAAATGATCGTTCGCCTTCCGGTGACCGTTCGAGCGCATGGACCACCCAACCTTGTAGATCCGGTCATGGAGACTCCAATGGTGGTGGTTTCAACTAGAGACAATGCTTGGAGGAGGGAAATCGAAGCCTCCAAAGATCCCGTCGGATCTCCTTTCTTCACCGACGATGAATCCGACCTCGTCTCGGGATTCCAAGCACACCGATCGACTCGCAAGGTCGAGAGAAGAAGTTATGTGGTGGTGAGGACCTCCAATTTTTCCTAGATTGGCCAATTATTCCGGGTTTGCCAAAACGGATCAAAAACGGGTCGAGTTTAATTAAATCGTTGTTCGGTGTCGTTAGGTCGTGGATTTTATATGAAAACACTCGGTGAGACCGACGATCGGATCCGTGGTGTTAGATCTCGTTTTGGTGATCGGAGTTGAGAGAAAATATCGGATCCTTTGTACGGGTCGAGTCACGAACGTTTGATCCTTGATTTCTCTCTCCTTCGTGATTGGTTCTCTCTCTAACCAATGTTGATGGATCGATCTAGTGATGAGCTACACGTGAGTGTGGTGGTTGGGGTTAAAACCGATCGAAAAACGATCGGATTGAGAGTGAAATGTTCGGTTGGTGAGCTGGTTAGGGCGTTTTTGGCTAACTCCAATTAGGTTTTCGGCTTTTTTTGGCTCTCGGTCGTTTTTTTTTTTTTTGTTCTCCTCGTGCAAATTGGAATCCGAAAGCTTTTTATAGGCCGAAACCTCCTAAAATTTCTCTCAAAATTAATCAAAATTCAAATTTTAATTGTCAAATCTTAATTTTGAGATTTGATTAGCTAAAAATAAGGAGATTCCAATTCAAAAAGATTTGTGAAAGATTTTAACGATTTTTGAATGATTTTAGGGAGATTTAATATTTTTTATATTTTTTTTTTGTTTTTTTTGTTTTTTTTGTTTTTTGTTTTTTGTTTTTTTCCCTTTAAAGGAACCCAAAATTAGGTTATGACAAGATTTAGGAATAATTGTACTCGTAAATATATTAATTTTTAATTTTTTCTCAATCAAGTATATAAATTTTAATTTTTTTCATTTAAGTATATTAATATTTTTCAAAACAATCAATCAAGTACTTCGTCAATTTTTCTTTTAATAAATGACGTGTTTGTTATAATCAAAATATCAAATTAAAATTTAACTTTTTTCTCAATCGAGTACATAAATTTTAATTTTTCTCGTTTGAATATATCAACTTTTTAAAACTCGTTAATTAAGTACTTTCATCAATTTTTTGTTAATTAATGACGTGTTTCAATATAAAATTATAATTGTATCGTTTTTTGTTGAAAGAAACTTTTTTCTCAAATTATTTTACTATTTTAAAATATGATAAATAATTAAAAAATTTCATACTAAACATTCAAGTGAAATCTCTTTGAAGTTGAAACTAGAACAAACCTACACTATCTTATACTTAATTCTTTTTTTAATTAAGAAATGGATGACAGAATTTACATCCCCACATGAATAATCTTATATCATTTTCTAACAATATAAATAATCAATAGACGGGAACAAAGCCTTTCTCATAATTCTAGACACTTATAGACCAATTAATTTTGCTTCATTGAAAAGAAGACGTGGTTCTATTGTTTCTTCGCTGGTGACGTCTAACACGAACGAAGTTATAGATAGGATATTTACCATCAAGTTTGAAGATAAGATATCAAAATTTGTTTGCCTTTTTCTAACAAAAAATGAAAAAAAAAAAAGAAAAATTTTTGAAAACCAAAAAGAAATTTTCATTCTATTTAGAAGTCGAGTCAAGTTAGAGAGTCGAGATGTTCGAGATTCGAATATGAGTACTTCAAATACCGTTCCTAGTCCTTCAAAAAAAAGAAAACAAAAGAGGTTTTATAAGTCCAAATCTCAAAGGAATGATAAGAAATAAAAAGTGGTTCAACACCCATATGTCACGAGTGCTTATCAAGAGTGAAAGAACATGAGCATACAAAATCGAGCAACCGGTTCTTTAAGTCCCCTCAAGATCAAGATTGTAATTAGTCATAGAAAGGATTTAGAGGCGACAGAAAGGGTATCCATTGGAATGTGTCATCAAGCAAATTAAAGGAAAGCAATACATTTGTGATATGTTAGAATTTGGGATAGAGAAGAGAAAGAGAAATAGGAAAGGGGTTAGATTTCTTTCTACGTAATACCCCCATTAGGAACAACCCGGACTATTTAAATAGTCTTACATTGCTAGGATATAACAAATTATACTAAGAAATAAGAGAATTACTTGCCACTATCTAACTAACTACATGGTGGCCCAATTCTACCGGCTTACTCGGACGAAAATAACAAATCCAAGTGGACCAAGTCTACTCCACGTGCCCCATATTACAAATGGTGGCCCATATCATTCCTCCCCCTAAAGAATCCTTGTCCACAAGGGTAAAGTCCGGATAAGATCCGCGAAATAGCCACTCATTTTCCCGGGTAGCATCGTCGACCGAGGCTCCCTTTCATTTAATTAAAACTTTAGACTTAGGATGATATCATCCGTTTTGAAGTACTTGACGATCAAGCATAACTTCGGGTTGAGGGAGAATTACGGAGTCATCCGTGACTAGTGGAAGTTCGAGCTGAAATTGGAGGGATTGGTGGTCCCAAATGCTTTCGTAAGAGACTAACATGAATTGTGTCATGAATTTGAGAACTAGGGGCAAGGCTAGCTTATATGCCATTGGACCCACCCTTTGAATAATCTGGTAAGGACTAAAATATCGTGGAGCAAGCTTCATTGAGGTACAAAATGCTACCGAACTCTACCGATACGGTTGGAGCTTAAGATAAACAAAGTCACCCATTGCGAAGGAGACTTCTCTTCGTTTTTTATCGACTTGACATTTCATTCTATTACGAGCTAGTGAGAGATTACGATGTAACTCGCGTAGAATAAAATCACGATCTCGTAAGTACTCATCAACTCGCTTGGACACAACAATTGCTCGGAATATAAGTTAGTAAACTTGGTGGAGGAATACCATAAACAACCTTAAAGGGTGTCATTTTTGTGGAGGAATGGATCGATGTATTATAGCTAAACTCGCGCAAGGAACCCATTCGACCCATTTTCGTGGCCGATCACCCGTAAAGCATCGTAAGTATTGCTCCAAGGTGCGATTCACTAGCTCTGTTTGCCGTTAGGCCGAGGTCGGTAGCTTGAACTCATACAAAGCTTAGTTCCTTGTAATCGAAACGAGCTTGCCAAAAAGAACTGATAAATACCTTATCACGATCATTGACAATGGAAGCCGAGATTCCATAGAGGTGAACCACATTAGCCACAAATACCTTGGCAACGGTGATTGCGATGAATGGATGCTTTAAGGCTACAAAGTGAGCATACTTTGTTAAGCGATCGACGATTACCATGATGACATTATGTCCATTTGATGGTGGTAATCCTTCAATAAAGTCCATCGATATGTCGGTCCACATTCGAGCGGGGATTGGCAATGGTTGAAGTAGCCCAGCTGGTTTCATACAATCGACTTTGTATCGTTGACATATATTGCATTGTTGTAAAAACATTTTACTTGTTTGGCGTATGTTAGGCCACAAAAAGCTAGCCTTAATGCAAGATAGTGTTTTATGGAACCTAAAATGTCCTCCAAGTAGGTGATGAGTGGCAATCTACAAGTATTTATTGAATCAAAGTTGAAGTGGAACTCAAGTAAACCTTACCATTTTTGAACCACACCCTATCTCGCTGTATTAGATGGTTAGGTGAATGTGTTTGAGAAAGATTCACATAAAAGGAATCTCGCTTCACCTCTTTTTGTAACATTGGCCACCACTCTACATGAGGCATTGAAATTCAACCACACAAGATAGGGAATCAGCGAGCTTAGTTTTCGAGCCTTGCTTATACTCGATTTTATAATCATATCCAAGGAGCTTAGAAAGCCATCGAGTTTGTCTTTGGAGTAGTAATCCATTGCTCGAGTAGATACTT